GCAATATAATATATATTTGTATATATATATATTTGTAATATAATATATATTTGTATATATATGTATATATATATATACATATATATGCACGTTCTCTTCAGACGTAATTGATAGAAAATATACATTCACACATAATGTACATTCAGGCGAGCGTATCCCAGTCTTGGGCGAAACATTCTCCTCGGCAGGCTCGTTCAGATATGCCTGCTGACATTTCTGTTGTTAGTAAAGTGCCTTCTCAAACAGTGTCTGTACTGCCTTGGATACAAGCAAGCTGTTACGCCACTTAGCACCTATACTATACTGTTTACTATTAAACATTCTCTACTGAAAGGAGCACGGCGAATGCCGGGCCCCGTTATCTGTTGGTGTCGTCCCAGCTACATTTCCGCAACCGCGAGTCCTCCTTTAAAAACTAAGGATGTTTGGATATGCAGTTTAGATACGTTTATAGCTATATGCATGGACACCTTTGCTTTCCTATCGCAATTGTAGTTACTAGTTACATACATTTATAGATATATGCATGCCATCCTTCGATTTTCATACGAAATTGTTATTTTGCATATACAGCTTTTGGATCTCCCGTCAGACAACGCCAGCCAGTCCACGATAAATCAGTCTTTTGATGGCGAACAGCATCTAGCAAGAGATACTGGGTATAGGAGTCGTCCGCTTTTGCAGGGTAAGGACTTGAGGGGTTTTAATGTAGATCATTACATTTGCATATTACTGTTTGGATTAGTAGTATGTGTGCTAACATATGTAAAACATTACATGTGCATTTAATCTGGTTTGGACTGAGAACGTTGAATAGTATACGTTCACACGTATGTCATTTCCGGCGCACGCGTGAGACACGAACTGGAGGGTGCGTATCATGTACCACTTCCCTTCCAGATCAAACAGCTCATTCTGATCACAGACCGTTGTTCTATTGCACTTTCCACACAGATGGTGCTGGCAGCTACGGGCGCCGATACGGCAGTCCACAGAGTTCGCAAGCATCAGGTTCGCTGGTGCACAAGTGTACTTGCATAGGGCCAGTAGACATGCTGCGTTGTATATGTAGTAGACATGCTGCGTTGTATATGTATTTTAGATCGTTGTAGTACACATCGTATACAAGAGTGCAATTGATTTCTGATGCGCTACCGTTGATGTCTACTAGTTGCAACGGCATTTGAGACTGCTTCTGCTATAGCGTTTAGTGCTACACAGCCGCAGTGTTGGCGCTGAAATTTACAATTGGTATCACACGGCATCGTCGTTTGGTTCAAATGAGACGACAGCCAAATCAGTACGCTTGCCAGTTTGTGCTCTTTGCAGTATAAAATAGCGGACCGATACAAACCCGTTGTCACCACTTCAAACATCTCTGTTGCCATGCTAACACTTTGCAGCGAGGATCGAAAGTTTATCGCTTTCAAGTGTCTGGCAGTTGCGGCTGATTTATGTATCACCAAGCATGCCTAACAAGGTGTCGATTTTTTACAGAAGATATTATCTCTAACCAAGCCTTCTGCCGTTGTTTTCCAAGCACGAAACATACATAACTACAAGTCGTCGACGCGTTCATTCAGCATACGTTTATATTTGTAGTCTCGATTTAGTGGGTGCATTGGTTGTACCTTCAGGTGTTGCTATATTGCATCTGTCGAGCATATATTAATCTGGTTCGTGCTACAGACCCGTCACATACAAGGATATGTCCTACATTCTATTATATCCGTACCAGTGTATTGCATACGCCCAATAAATGTACGCGTACTTAAGCATAACCAACTTACTCACAGGACTGTCCCCGTCGAATAGTCAACTCTACCACGAGCTGAACCAGGTCATGTCTCCGGGAAGTGACAGTGCCGGGAACAACGGATCCCCTCAGAGATACTATGCAGGTACGTAACGTTTAATTGTACCGAAATTTACAGGAATGTATTCAAATAATATGTGGAATGCGGACTAGTCTCTACATAACTCGTTTGTATGGTGGTGCGGAGGCTGTGTGATGGCTGTCAAACTTTACATACCATAACGTAACAAACAGTCCAACAAAGACGCTCGTTGATTCCCTTAATATCAAAGTAGGGCCAGAAATTTCTGTTGCCATCCTTACCCACATGCCTTAACTCGCACAGAAAACTCGGACGGCGTAGGCATCTACGACGACGATGGCACAGACATCGATGCCGATCACGAGAGCTACCGCTACAATCCGCGACACGCCAAGGACTACCCACCATCATACAGCACATACGCGAGTGACCAACGACACCACACACACGCACACGTGCACGCGGAAGCCCGGGCAGCCGAAGAGGACGAAGCGCATGCACGCAGATACGACCAGTCACAGGCACAGGTGGATGAGCAGGTACAGGCACGGATGCGCCGCAGTGCGAGGACTAAGGCGCGGGAGAGCACGTTTGAGCTGGGTGATACCACACATAATAACACACAGCACACAGAGGTGTACCATAACCACAATAGCAACGGCAGTGGGAGCGGCAGCGACCGCTCGTTTGCGTCGGTGCAGTCGCAGAGTGGACAGTTAACCAGGAAAGCGGTGGGATACGGACACGCCTACAGAGGGGCTCAAGCACGGGGACCTGTGGCACCAACACACCCGCAGATTGCGGCACCTAGATCACGCACCTATAATCCCAGAAATACCTACCTGATGGACAATAGGCGGCGGGAGGGAGGGGAGGCGGACTACGCGAATACGATCGAGAATGGAGTCCAGGGCTACTACGGCGACATAAACAATGCCACGGAGGTCGAGCGTGTGGGAGGGGATATGGGGTACCAAAGCTGGCCGGCGCACAACTACACACAGGCTGAGAGGTATCGATCTGAGGGTAATCACCACAGTCACAGACGAGGCAGTGGGCGGGAGGATAGTGGCGACAGCCTCGACCTAGCCAGGGGGACCAACCACCTCGTGGACTACCGTAATCCGAAACATCCGAAAGTACAAGGTATGCCCCTTCAGACACGTGGAAAGGCTGTATTGAATGCTATTGGAATTGTTCTACGAGTTTGTGTGTGTATCTCTCTTACCACCAGTAGAAGGTATGTCGCTTCAAATACGCAGAAGGACGGTATTGAATGTGATGTGGGGTCTGGGGTCGTGCAAATATTGCCACGAGCTAGTGTGCATTCGCGATGCCACCAATAGCCAAATCTGTGGTCTGTGAGAGCCCAATACAGTGATATGTACATCTTCCTTTGAATGTACTGGCATGGATACACAACCGGAGTGTATGTGGTGTCGCTGGTGGCGAGTACTCCGGCGTATCGGGGAGGGATTAGTCGGGTGTATAGCATGTGTGAACATGCCTAGGGCACGTGACTGGGTGTTGTAAATAGGAAGCCAATGCTTGTACAGCATGAGGTCTCCCTCGAGGTCTATCCGATAGTCTACTTGCCTCCCCTCGGGAGCAAGCCATCGCTCTACTCTCATGGATAGTATGTAAACTCTACATTCGTATGTGTATACACATGCGCGGTGCCGTACTACTGGTAACGGGCCTGTTGTGGGACGAAAGCAGAACCTATCATGTGCGTAGCATGCGTTCCTTGCCCTCTTGGTCGATACTACGCTATACTCACCGTTTTATGGTGTCAATACTCTATTTTGCTTATGTTTGTACGGTTGGAAGCTGTATCTCGCCTAATTTTGTACGATCATGTACGATTGGATCAATATATTTTCGCTCATGACTGTATGGCCCATTTAGTGTATTTCGCTGATGCGTTTATTAATTCGTTAAGATGCATGGTTCATGCCAAGTTTTGCTCACGACCGTATGGTATCAATAGTGTTATTCTGATGTGTTTATTGGATTTAATGATGGTGCTCAAAGGAATCACACATATGCCAACGCTGGGATCCAAGCGGCGAGTCTCCCCGAGCGCCCCAGACTCGCCCAGAACAAGAGGTGTGTACGTATACCCAAGTATGTGTGTTTTCATGTCTCCGAATA